TGCATGCCCCGGTCCTTTGTGCTTTGTATGGTCACTGCAGACGCACAGGATAGCTTTGCCATCCATCTCATCCCACACTTGTAGGCCTGGGCACCTCCTTCCCTGCAGCAGGGACGGCCGGAGCCTCCGGGACCAACAGACACGGCCGAGACCATGTGCTGCCTCGAGAAGGCTTCTGCTGGCAAAACCCCGGGGCTGTTCGTAAGTGCCATTTCAGAGCTCAGTCACCAGCTCTTCGGCCATCCTTGCAGAGGAAGGGGAATGACAGGACGGTCCGTTTGTCCTGTATAAACCACTGTCAAACGCAACAGCCGCCACCCCCAACTGTTTTTGCTGCTTCCCCTCTCCACCCCAGAAATGCCCAACTGACCAAGCTGTCTCCGGCCCTCCACCGCTGTCTGTTGCCTGTACCTGTTGCAGCGGGTGGGTGACATAGGTGGGACTTGAAGCTGGAGGGGGTCACTTGGGACTGGGGCTGACCCTGCTGCTGCTGGTGAGACTGTGCTTGCTCAGCACGTGACTGAATTTTGGCAGTAGGGATGTGCACATACAGCCTGCTCCGCTGGCAGGGCAGGGGGATGCCTGTCCTCTGCTCTCCTCTTGCCTGAGATGCAATGCCAGTTTCCCCGAGGAGGGCATCTCACTGGGTCACCAGAAAAAGTAATTTGAAGTCTACGGCTGCTCTCCTTAAATCACCTTGGAAGAAGGCAGACGTGCCCAGCTCCTGGCATCTCTATTTTTACTTCGTGCAGAGATGGATATGGCTGAGCTGTCGCCTTTTATTTCCAGCATTCGGTGCGTGCTGTAGCGCATTGCTAAAGATGTGCCTGGCTGGATGCGAAGCTGCCCGCTTCCCTGAATCCCCGGGGGACTACAGGGGTGAAGGGCTCTTGTCTTCTGCATGGCTTCATAATTCATTTCTTCTCTGCTTGCTGCTCTTCCCCTCCTCCTTCCACTTCCCTTACAGTTTTTGGACTTTTTTTTTTCCTCCTGTATTTATTCCAAACCAGCCTGGGTAAACAGGGAGCAGGAGCGTGGCAACTGGGGCTACTGGTAGCACTGGATTCCAGAGGCATTTTTAATGGGTTTCTAGTGACTGGAACTGTCCTGTTCTGCTGTAGAAACTTTTCTTCTTTGCTCTGTCTGCAGCTTGGCACAGAGATTTCCTTGGGAAGGCTCAGATTGCGCATTTTGCTTCCCAACAGTCAGGCTGACAAGCTTTGCACCTCAGGTGGCTCCAGTTGCAGCAGCTCCGATGGTGCTGGTTTGCCAGACCTGTCCCACTGATGCCATTTTTAGCTTGCAGCTGCCCCCAGCACCACGTGCCCAAGTTGTGCCCCTCTTAACTGCCCCTGTCCCTCCTCCTGCGTGAGCCCGTGCACAATAGCCAGGCAACTCCCCGGTATCTTCCTCTGCCCATGGGATACTTGTGGAGAGGCTGATTGCATGGTTAGCTGCTCCAAAACGTGATTAGGAATAAGACAAATGGTTTGACCTGTTGAACCGGGTGCCTCTGAAACCTCTTGGGTAACCTGGGGGGAACGAGAGCCCTGCAGCTGCCAGGCTTTCTGGCTGAGGCTTGCTCTGTGGCTGTGGGGATGAAATGGGGGGGCTTTCTGGTTACCCTGGACCTGCTTACCTCAGCATCGCCCACCCTATGTGGGCTGGGGGATGACCTGGGATGTGCAGTCCCTGTATCCAGCCGCAGCCCCACTCTCAGCCGTGGGGCGATGCATAGGCTCAGAGCTGTCGTCTGCCCTGTTTCTCCCCCAGTGAGGTGGGGACAGCACGTGTTTCTGGAGTAGGTTGGAGAAGATGCTCCATAACGAATCCTTTGCCACCTGAACTGCTCTGAGGTTTGTCCTACCTCTAGTGTACATACTTGGTGTGCCTGGCAATGGTACGCTGGCAGCTTTGGAGAGCAAAGAGGAAAGGAGAGAGTTTCTCCATCAGCTTGAAATGTTGCTTTCTGCCCCTTTGGTTGCCCTCATGCACCTGGAATGGCAGCCCCAGGGTGTGTGATGGTCAGGAACGTGGCTGGAGAGAGCTGCCCTCGGTGGGGATGCAGGACTGGGACCCCTGAGAGCCCCAGAGCTCTCCCTCCAGGAACCGTTCCTCTTCTGTAGGCACGGGCTGGCTGCGACCACACCAGTTTGGGCTGTCGGTGGTTAATTGAGCAGCCTTGGAGCTGATGGCTCCTGTGTCTGCATTGGAGAACTCGTTAGCTAGCTGCCGTGAGGCTTTTAGACACGGTCTGACTTTAGCCCTAACGGTGGGTTACAGAGGGGTCCCCCATGGCAGCAGGGACCACCAGCCAAGGGTCGGCTCTGAGTGTCAGGCTGCAAACTCACTGCCTTTGGTTGCGGAGTCTCTGTCGGCCGTGGGAAGGGAGATGGGCTGTAACGTGTACATGCTTGA